TAATTCTTCAGAGAACTAACAACTCTCAATATTTGGAAGAATTTCTCCTGCTGAGTGTTTTTGTCTCTGGAGTCTGGTGGAGAGCTGTTATCTCTGTAGAAAGACAAACAAAGGCGCTTTTATTTGATTCTTTTATTTCTGTGCCACTGTTTGGTCTGAGATGCTCGGGCTCTCCCTACTGGCTGCAGCTGGTGTTCAAGGTCCACCCACTGTCACTCAAACTGGCTCCACCTCAGCTTCCACACTCCCACTGACGGCCCATCAGACAGAGCTGGATCCAAAGACAGCTGCAGGACTCGGGTAAGTTCAGAGAATACTTTTATAACTTTATATTTTTACACCATGATGTTTTATGTTTTAATATCACTACAGTCAGCCCATAATATGTGATGTCAGGTAAGATTGTAGTAATAATACAGCAATCAGGTGATTTTCATTGCTGGTGTATTAATATAGAAATATTTATATTCTTTTAAAAATCTATTAAAAATAATGAACAGCTTTGAACAGTATTTAAAATCCTTTTTTATATATTTGATGTTTTTGTCAGACAGGAAATGAGGAGACAAAACAAAACCTTGAGTTCAAAAGATACAAAAATATCACATTTGGGGATTTTAGGGAAATCCCAACATCGCCTCCATTAATGCTCAAGTTTTATACGAGCGGTAACCAGACAAATCTTCAGACATTCACAATGTAACCTCCATGAGAAGCAACCAATATGGTGAAAAACAGGAAACACATGACCGAAATTAGCACCAGCCACCACCCAAACAATGAGGTGGCTAGCAGATGTTCACAGTAGTCAGTTTGAACCAGTTTCTGAGGTGGCTGTCATTCTCATAACAGTGAATTTTACTGAAATCGTTCCACATTTGAACAAAAGAACACCTGATATTGTAATAAAAAATAGGTTTATCTGCAGCGTTGGACTTTTACTCATTACTCTTATCATGAGTAATATTATTACTTTGCTCATTAATCCCTGCCCACAGTGATAAGGTACACTACTAGTTAAATTACTTCTCTGCTACTGTTTGCCTCTCTTGTCGTTCGTTAAACGCCGCTAAAGCTGGCAGGTTTTCTTCTGCAGCCTCTGGATCCATAAAAGTTACAGGTTGGATGAAATTTAGGTTAGTGATGGGAATCTGAAAATAAAAACTTTACACAGGGAACCTTTGTCTTTTATGCTCTTATTTAATAAAGTACCTTGCAAAGGATCAGCTTTCATCCAGTGAGAGTGTGTGTACAATCTGTTGTGACCAGAGTGGGTCTGGTTTAGAGCAAGAGTCAGAGGGGTTTACGACCCTGTGATGAATGGTTTTAATGATAAGAAAGTCCTCGATCCCGCAGCGGACAGAAAGCAAAGCAATAAAAAGTAAATACACTGTGCCCTAAAAATACAGAATACAGTAAAGTATAACAGATCATTTCTCCGTTAGGTTTCCCTCCTATTGATCATTACTGGGTAATACGAAGGAAAAATGACACAGGGTCAAACTTAATGGAGAAGAAAAGAAAAACACAAACTAACACAACTTAAATATGATAGTATAACAGTGAAATACAAAACATCCATAATGCATAACTTTTGGCAAGAAAGCAAATAAACGTATTTACTAAAATTATTCCTTTATTTTAACTGCATTTCTAGAAACTGCGGGAAGAGGATCGAAGCAGACGAACCGCGAATCATTCGCAGCTGCAGAACTGTGAGTGAGACGTCGTCATAATGGGGTCGAGCTGTACGAAGGGTCAGTGGAACGGAGAGTATGAACGGCCCAAAAGACCAAAACATGGACGGAGGACGGAGAAAGAAAGAGAGGAAATGAAAAAGGAAGAAGAAGACTTTGTGTTTCCTTTCACTTATGATTTGTGTGATTTGAACGATTTGAATGAAATGCTGAACTCAGATGAGAGCTGGGATTTTGCGCACGTCTGTGAACGTGCTGCTAAATTGGAAAAAATAGCCAAAAAACTACGCAAAACTAAACCTGAACCACCGGCTGCCGCCACCCCTCCACCCAGGATCACATATGAAACCCAACAACCAAAAACTGAGACATTGAATTCAGTTGTTCAGAAAATAGCTGCTCACACGTGCACGGCGTTCGTCCCTCAGCTTGCTGCTGCGTTGCAGATCGGGAGCTCAGAGAAACAGATGATCATGAATTATTTTACCGATCAAGTCGGGAAACAAGTCACCGCTCTTATACAGCTGTGGTTGGACACACAAAATCCACCCAGCGTGGAGAAATTACTGGCACAGCTAAAATGCGGTGGACTAAATTATGACTGGCTCCTTCGTGAGGAGGAAAGGCCCAGACCTGGTCCGTGTCCTCCGCTGCCTGCACAAGGCTCTGATGCACCTGTGGAGTCAGTCGTTAATCCACAACATAGAGCAGAAGAGAAACCGGAGAGGGGAAAAGAAAAGGAGGAGGAAAAACCAAGGTCTGTCGTAGAAAAGCCAGTTTGCCAGGTAGAAAAGGAGAGACGTGTGGAGCCTGTGTGGACCCCCGCAGAGCTCCTGAACCTGGTACAAAGTGCCCCCAACCCCATCATAAAACCCAGAGATTTCCACGCCTGGCTGTGTAACGTTTGCAGCGCGTACGATCTGCGTCCCGCTGACGTCCACAAGCTGCTGGAGTTCGTTTACAACCGTGAGTGGAAAAATGTTCATCAGAACTTTAACATCCCTGGAGCAGACGGTAACACCGACTGGCAAGCCGCTGATGCGATGACGACGTGGCTCGACAACACCTGTTGGGACTCTATTAGTAGATGCGTGTGGCAAAAAGCCAATTTTTCTGCCGTACAGTGCTGCCATCAGAAAAAACAAGAACCGGTGACAGATTTCCTCGAGCGTTTCCAGCAGGTGTGGGAGTCCACTCTGGGCGTTGATATTGACAGCATTCCTCCAACAATGACGATAAACCTCTTACAACCTCACGTAAAGGCTGTTTTCGAAGAACACTGTATTCTGTGGTCGACATTTAATTTTACAAAGGCCAAACATTGGTTATTAAGCATGGAGAGTCTCGGAGGGTTCGAGCCAAAGAGCAAAGGTCAACGCCTGGCAGGGCAGCTAGGGGATTCGGGACCAGAGCGGCTGCAGCTGGAAGCGCCGCCTCAGTTCAGGCAGCCGCGCAGAGATAAAAGAAACGATCAGTGCTTTTACTGCGGCAGGTTCGGACACTGGGCCAGAGAGTGTCGAGCTAAACGTCAACAATACTCTCGAGCACATCCGGACGCTTGGACATGGACGCACACGTATACAGAGGCTAAAACCGCCACCGCTGTGCCCTTCCAGATTGGTTATTATTAAATCGCTGAATCGAGTATTAAAAATGTACCCTTTGTAATTAGCATTTGATTTATATTACAACCTTTGTTGATTGTCGTCTTTAAATGTATCTAAATTTAAATTTAATTAACAATGAGATTGAAGAGAAATTATACTAAATATATTTAGCAAAATACTGCGAAAAAATTATTATTATTAGGGATGCACGATAATTATCAGGACAGATCATTTCTAAATTGGGATTATTAAATCATAGACAATAAATTATCTGTTCATATTAATAAAAATGTATTTTTAACTCTTAATAATCTAACTCTTGCGTAATGGCTTGACCCCTAAATAACATTTAGTTGTAATACCGATTTGAACCTGCACATATTTGGATTGCGATTTATCTTTATGTTGTGACAAATGTATTAATTCAACAGTATCATTGACCACAATAAGCTGCTGAGAGCTTATCACATACTACAAACCGGTCTCACCCCCAACTTGCCAAATACTGCCTGTAGGTCAGTTGTCATCTGCTTCAAAATATGACTGTTGTTATCCTTCTGTTAGAGATTAGTTATTTTAATACACATAGATGTGAAAGCATATATTTTATACACTTAGATGTGAAAGCCTATATTTTATACACATAGATGTGAAAGCCTGCATTTCTTTAAAGCTAGTACACAAAGAGAACACAGAGACACAGTCTCATCTCGGCCTGAGCTACTCTAGCTGCAGACACCTGGCCGGGGGAGGGAGAGTGGTTATCTCCAAGGTCAGAAGCACCCAGCGCTGACCATAGCTCTAGTTTCACAAATGATATCAATATGAAGAGAGGAGCCAGGGTGGAATAATTAATTTTTATTTAGGGCGCTGTCTCTCGGAAATTGGTTGGTCATGGTGCCAAGAGACTGGACCGAGTCCTGAGGCACAACAAGGATGCGCCAAGTCTAACCACGGTTGCATCCCATCATATAGTCCACCTATCACATTGCTTATGAAAACTAATATAACTTCTTGTGACCTTTGACCCACTACTCTTTTGGGGCCGAGAAAAGACAGAGTAACAGCACTCCCCCTGACTGTGGCTTCTCAATCCAACAAGATCCTTGTACAATATTATTTTAATTATACAATTCTAAATAATTCTTAACTGAGAGAAGTTGTTTTGTCTTTGTCCTTAAAGATCATTTTGATACACGACACTTCTACGAGATTTCTGGACGCATCCATCGTCAAAGTCAAGTGACGTATTATAAAGAGTGTATATGGAGCTGGTGGGGATGGACGGCTCAAACACACTGGACTTTAACTCAGGAGAACGCTGTTCTGTCCTTTGTTAGATCCAAAAGTAAACAATGTGTTTGAATTTACAATTTCTTTCTGATCCTACCCAAGTGGTTTTTGAGCCTAGACTACAACCTTTTCACAACTTTAATTACTCTAGCTTTATTTTGGAAGTCCAACCGGATGGTGCTAATTTAAAGTTGCTACCAAAGAAACTATCTTGAGCCGGGCGACTGATGTATGCCACATTAATATCCTTGAAACTGTTTAATTTTTCCCAGCAGTACTTCCTGTTGCCAACAGACCGAGAGAATGGCGCTCCGTAGGGGATCTCAGGGCAGTCAATGCTATTCCACAGATCTGCAGCCTGTTTGCTGCCACTTACGATGGTCAGCAGTATATGGTGCGTAGGCACGGCTGGTGCAGGAGTTTACCCGCCATTTATGCCACAGAGGTGATTATTTGATGAGCTTGCGCTCACAGTTGAAAGTACGTTGCTCCAAAATACTGATGACCTCCGCCTCTGAAGATGCCTGCAATGAACTCCATATTGCTCCTCCACTGTCTGAACAAGGTCGCAGTTGCACCACCTCCTCTCTCCTGAACAAGTAAAACTGCTGCCTGCTCCACAAACGACAACCATTTTTCAGCACAGGGAATTATTGCCATCACAGATGCACGGTTTACATCCCTCCTGCTGGTCTACACATTCTGAACACTTCTGCCATCAGCATACAGTTGCTGCTCGCAGGTCGACCTACGAATGTACCGTTCTCTCTGGTTCTAAGATTGGACACCACTTTTGAACCCAGCAACTCTGCTTCCATTGGTTGATTTAGACGCTGAATGAGTGACTCTGGACCGTAAAATCTTTCATTTCTATAATGTATTTAACAAACTTGCCACCACAGAGTTAAGGTACCAACCATGAACCACAATATCCCCGGTTCGGTTCACCTTTGTTGCATCAAATCCTGTCATTTCTCTACTGAAAGACATAATTCACTGGTTGAGAAAAACAATGCAAACAACCAGATGTTCTGTGTTTACACTCTATAAACAAATGACAAAAAGCACTTGTTTGCATCAATCTTTTTGAGTTTTGACAACTTCTAATGAAATAATGTTATGTATTTTTTTTTAAATTACCACTTAAATAATAATTTGATTGCATAACGTTGTTTTTTTTGTTTTTGTTTATTAGGCTACACTGTGAAAGTAGTTAAGTTAATTTAACTAAAACAAATGTTAAAACTTATTACATCAAAAATGTTTAGTAAAAGAAAAAATTATTGAAAGCAAAATAACAACTAAAAACTACTTAATCAGGAATGTTTCTGTAACTTACAAAACTATGTTTGTGTAACTTTAAATTAAGATTCTTTTTTAACCTAAATTAAGTTTGTGTTATGTAACAATTTTAATTTAATCAATTTTAATACTTTTTTTGAGTTTAAATTACTTATCACATTACAGTGTACTTGTAAAATGTAATTGTTCCAACTTAAAAGGTTTATGTAAATGAATTAACTTGTATGTTTATCTTGGAACTATACATTTAATTAAGTGGTGGTAATAGGTCCACTGAATTACATTGAAGATTGTGCTTCATGCCATCAGAAACTCACCTACCAGAACTACAAGGTTGTGTCTACATATCATTCTAACATGAAGACATTCGTCCACAAGTGCAAGCTGAAACGCTACAGAACTGTTATGGCCCAGAAAGACTCTAAATAACATTCTGATAAAGTTTTACTGAAAGGTTTTCGTTTGCCTGCCAGATCCTGGAGGAGAAAAGGAGACTTTGTGTTTGGTTTTTTGTGTTTGTGTCTCTTTATCTCCTAGATAGTGAGGTCCCTACAAACTGCTGTTAACCATGAGAGCTGCTTCTAAAGGTGCATCCATCCAGGCTGGATCAATAGGTTCAGCAGCGATTGGAAACAAGGAAAGGAGGAAACGAGTGCACAGACGGGGCCAAAAAGCAGCCGGAGGAATGTCCCCACTCAGCCATGTTCCCCCTCCATGGCACAGTGCTGATGTGCCCTCATCCACAATGTAAGAGGATCACAAGACCACCTACATTTCTTTAAATAATAGTTTTATGATTATTTATAGTTAAAGATTTTGTAAATGTAATATAATATAACATCGGTATGTTTCCATTAGTGTATAAAAATAGGAATCGTTATGTTTTTGTTACAATAAGACGTTTTTATCTACAGAGGGAGCGAGTCCTCTTCTGGCGGAGTCCACCATATTGAACCACCATGTTTCTACAGTAAAAGTAAAGTAAAAGTTACATATATATATATATATATATATATATCTTACTTTAAATGTTTGATGTAAACAGTTCCAGAATAATAAACTTATCTGGTTACACAGTGATAAACAGATTAAGGACGCCATACGGCAGCCATCGTGCAGAGAGGTGAAATGGGCGGTTCATCATCAGTAGGCGAGCTGACGCTTTCCCCTGCCTTGTGTCATGGGGGGGTGGCGTCCCTTCAGGCGACCAGGACGCAGCCTGATACGTCTCCTCTCCTCCTCTTCCTCCTCTTCCTCCTCTTCCTCTTGTCATTGTGGGAATGTCGTGTGTTTTTTTCTACTTTGTGTTATCATTTCATATTTTAGCTTGCTCAGCACATTTAGCACACAAACATTGTTTTTTCAGCATTGATGAGTATTGAGATGTTTAGGTTATTTTATCAGCAGTTATTAGATCTCCTGCTGCCGGTTGTGTTTTGTAGAGAGAAAAATTATTATCATTCAGTAATGTGATTCTCTGTGTTAGCCTTTGTATGAACTATAATTCTCTGTGTTATACTGTTCTGTAGAAAGCAGGCCTGGCTCCATTTCCAGCTGAACCGTACCCGAACTCAAGGCGAATACAATGACCACATTATGTGCTAAAAGATGTGAGGTTGAAATATAGCCTAAGCCTGCACATAACACCTTATTAAGTTTTGGTCTGGGCTCTCAAGTCGTGAATGCATTGTTCAATTAAAAATAATTCACTAATGTCTACCCAGCCATTGCATTTAACTATTGGTTCTTTGTTGTTATCCATATAAAAACCCTGGTGATGATGCACACAGCATCGATTCCTCGGCAGTCGCTAACTGTCAATTTCTGGTTTCAGTCCTTCTGCAGAATATATATATATATTCAGAATATATATATATAT